TCCTAAAATAGATCCATTAGAGGAGTGTCCAGTGGCTGCTTGGGAAAACTTCTAGCAAATTTGCAAAATCAGTCAATAAAAAACTTTCCTGGACTGCACTGAGGTGAGAGAAAAAGGGGTGCGCTGAGTGTGCTTCCATTCATATCAAAAGAAGAGACAAAGAAATAAAGCATGTCAGAAAGGCTAGGTTCATCCATTTCTTCAAAATGCAAGTTTTTGATGGCAATTTTTAAAAACAATACTTACATTCTGAAGTAATACAAAGATTGGACAAGCGTTCTTATTTAATTCTAAAGCACATATGAAATGTACTTTCTTACTTTAGCAACAACTTTTTTCAGATGAGGTGGAGAACTAAAGCTTTTTCTTTCCTTGTTTTTGGCAAAAAGTAAGAATTTTGAAGAAGAGAAGGATTTGACGGCACTATTTAGCCATTTTCAAAGACTATGTAAAGCCTGCTGCTTTCCAAACAATAACCTGTTTTGAGTGCTTTCCATGTTTAGTGCTTTGATGATATACTACATACAACAGGTTTTAGAAATCTTAGAATTTACAACTCAGGAAACAGGCCACTAGCCGAGTGTGGTGTCAACATGCCATTAAGCAGGGCAACCTCCTTAGAGAACATATACATTATCTTCAATCCTGCTTTAAGACCAGAGATTCAAGGAAAATGTTGCTGAAAGCTCTAATTCTTAATGCAGGGTGGGTAACCTATGATACTTTTGGTTATTGACACCCTAAAAACTGCCCTGCAAAATTTCAGCAGCAAACCACTAAAAAACAGAGGAGCAATTTCCCAATGAGAAAATCAAACAATAAAAATCTGCAGGTTTACATTAAAAAAAGCTGCATGACACAATTCCCTCAGTAATCCTACCTCTAACTGCTTGCAAATTGTTCCTGCAGCATCATTCCATTCACAGGAACCTTTGACTGCCCAAATATTTGAACCGTTTGAATTTTGAGCACCTAACATCCCTGCCTTAATGGAAAAATATTTTTCATTATTTTGCAAATCCACAGGCTCAGGAAATTCTTGTTTGACCAAGGCCTCCATGGATTCTATTTTGAGATGAACTTGCTGGAGCAGCCTGTATTTTCGTATCACAACTTTGCATTGTATTTTGCAGTAACTGGAGTTTATCAATCAATGTTCAGTGCTACAGTTATTAAAAAAAAAAAACAATAAAAAAATAAATAAAAAAAGACTCCTCTAGAATTCCTGCCATTAAGAGTGCAGCAATATTATTTATGAACTGAATATATGTAATACAAAAAGCTATTTTATATTATGCAACAGGACTGATTCACTCCTTGCAGTTCCAAGGCAATCTGGGAAGAGTGCATACTGCAAGATCGAAAGTTCTTGCAATATGCAATAACTCAATAGAGTTGCAATATGCAATAACTCAATAGAGTTCCTATACATTTTGAAATTAGTAAGGAAGCAATCTATGTATAGAACACAAACTATTCCAGCAACTAAAACCAGAGTTCTCTCATAGGATTCCATTAACGTTTAACTAGAATGCCGTCCCTTTGCCCCAAATATATTGTAAAAACTTCTAGCAAAGGTCAAATGAACAGAGAATGCATTCCTGTCATATTCAGCCAGAAGGGAAAGGACTACAGCATTTTGGACCTACGGTGAATTCCTTTTTGAACAGGCACCAATGAGCTTCAAGAACAGCATACGTATACAGTCCTGCCCCTTGTATCTTCGCTGTAGCAAGGTAACCAATAAAAAAGACATCAAGCACAATTTTAATAACAACAAAAATAATACAGATAAGGTTTAAGTATTATTGTCTGTAAAGAAATTAGGGCAATCTTGAGCACAAGATAACATCTTCCTACCATTACCTGTAAGTTCAAACTAGCGCTCTGAGTATAATTATTCTATGCCTTTCATGTCAGTTAAGAAATGGCTGCTGTTAAGGAACATCCTGGTCTTCTCTTGGTTGGCTATAAACCTTTCTCAAGAAAGGACAAAATGGCAAACTCCAACTCAAGCAAAAACACCAAAAAAATCTCTGCTCTCTTTTTATGTCCAAGGTTTCAGTACAGTACAATCCCAAATGGCCTTAATTCAAACATTAATGCCCAATTTTAGGTTGGATTATGCTAAGTATACGAGTTGAAATCCAACCTATCTGAAAGGTACCAGTTGGGGACAATGGCTTTAAAGCTTTTAATGCCTAGAAGTTGTTATTATTCAGGGTCCACTAATGTTCCTCTGAAAAGAATTCTGACTGCCTTTGCAGAAATTGTGACTTCCAAGTACTATTTTGCTCTATTATAGTGACCGGAATGTGAATTGTCTCTACGGGTAGTGTGCAAAATGTTTAAATTGTCAGGATACTGCTTCCTTTTATTGTGCCACCATCCAAACAGTATGAGAAGCTAAAAACAGCCAACAGTGCACTGAGAAGCATCAGAAAAAGAGGATCAGAAAAGATATCAACAGAAGTCCACCTACAGAGGTTGGCTGGTATGGGTCTTCCGGGCTGTATGG